GGAACCTGCGCACTTCTGCTGGATGGCGCACGTTCCAGGTCTCCTTGACTGAAGGGGCCATGGTCGCCATGCGCGCATCGACTGACAAGAGCCCCAACATGGTCCGCGGCGAGGTGCAATCTAAGAGGATGTCCAAGCTACTGGAGGAGACGCACCCTACACTCACGTGGCGGTGTCGGCGAGCTCGGTGCCACGTGCTGGTCAACAGCGCGCCCTGCTGCCAGCTCGAGCCTCAGGGGCAGGACGAGCCGACGCGTATCAGGTGGAACAACAATGCGATTGCGCAGTTCAATATTGACACGGCGACGACCGAGGAAGCCTTCAACGCCGCCTTCTCGGCCGCGGAGGTTCAGTGGTCCGGGTAACATGGGCTGGGCTCCATGGGGGCAATTTCGCCGAGACGCTGAACGCGGCCTTCGTTTGATATGCTGGAATGCTCTGAGCCTCCTCTGTCTTGATACGAAGAAGCGCGACGCCAAGCTGCGCATCTTGATTGAGTACATGGGGCAGCGCTTCCTCATTGCCCCTCAAGAGGTCCGAGGTGATACAGGCAGACTACAACGGCTCGTCGATGACACGCCCTACACTTACGAGGGCTTCATGTCTGCGACGGGTTTCTGCTGGCGGGGTGGCGTTTCTTGTTCCGCGTCATCCGTCTCATCGACCAGCGCGCGAGCACCTGGAACCAGGATGCGTTTTACATTCTATCGTCCCAGGCCGCGCCGCTGCCTTGCATGTCTCGCCCCCTGCGCACGAGCATTCCACGTGCATTTTGAATGTGCGCAATCATCATCTTTCTGCTCTCGATGTGCACGAAATCGAACGCTTCTGGTCTCAGCAAGTCGCGTTTGCAGCACAGCGTGAGCGCGCCTTTAAGTTCGCTGCTACCGGTGACTTTAACACCCCTGAATATCATCCTCGCTCTTTTCGTTTCCCGCTGGCCCCTCGCCTTGCTCCTGCCCCGACTCTGCCTGTGATCGATAACCGTGGTCAGCGCGTGCTCGGCGGCGGCGCATGTTTGCCTCCGTCGCTGAGATTGCGAATGATTTACCCACCCGGCACGATTCTCATCGAATGCAGGTGACGAGCACTGATCGGGTTTTTATCTCAGGGTGCCCGTCTCAGCTGATGCCAGTAGATGCCGCGTTGCAGGTCGCGCACGAATGCACGCGCATGTCCGACCGTGGTCTTTCCGATCATGCAGCGCTCATGCTTAAGCTCGCTCAGTCCACCGCTCGTTCCCCGCAAGAGCGCGCCATTCATCCCAACCTCTTTCGCAGCGCGGAATTTCATTTTATGTTCGCCAACATGCTCTCGTACGCAGATTTTGAGCAACTTGATACTATCGCGGCGTGGCAAGCAGTGAAGGAAATCATGTATGAAGCCGCCGTTGTCACTCGTGATGAACTTCAGGGGTCCACGTATCTGCGCAGTGCTCATCCTGCAGCGCCGATCGCTCGCATGTATCTGTTTCGCTCCATGGCTCGGGCTCTCTGGAGGAACGATGTGCGCACCGCTTCTCGCCTCGTCGCCACCGCCCCTCTTGCTGCTTCTCACCTCGTCGTCGTTGACGGCCAGGTCTGTCTCCTCGGCCCCCCCCCCTTCCACGCGCAGTGCGATGCAGCGAACGATGAGTGGCGCCAGCGGCGCGCGCTGCAAGCTAGCATGAGTGTCTCGCAATATGACGAGTTCGGTCGGCAGAAGGATGAGGTTTTCCAGCTTAAGACTAAGCGCAAAGCTGCCCGCAGAGCCCGCTTGCAGGCGCCATGGTCTCGCCAACTCCGTTTAGGGGGTGTGCGTGGACACGTGCATGGCAACAGTGGCGATAGAGCATTTACTGTTATGAATGACCAGAAAGTTTTCAATGCAGTGCAAGCTCACCAGCAACCCATCACTGCTGCTCGCGAGTCGTGCGACGCGGACATCCTCGCCTATTCTGCATTATGTCTCTCCGCCTGCCCCCACCTTCGACGCCCCCATGCCCAGTGTGGAAGCGCTGGCATCGGCGCTGCAGCGTGCGAAACCAAATGCTCCTGGTCCCGATCGTCTTCCCTACTCTGCCTGGCTCTCCAACTCTATTGCCAAATATATATTGCATCGCGTTCTCGTGCATATTAATTGTGGTGGCAGCTTACCGTATGAAGCTAATCACTCGCTGTTTACTTTCTCACCAAAAGGGGAGGACGAGCTGGACGCGGTTCGAATTATTCGACGGGGCCAGGATCTTCGCCCGTTGAGTTTCAAAAACAGCGATGTGAAAGCGATTGGTTCAGCAGTCAATTTTACTTTGAAGCCACTTGTAGAACAGCGAGTTGGTCGGAGTCAGCAAGGGTTTCCCACTGGGTGTAATTTTGCTGGCAACATACTCTTGCTTGACGCGGAGGCGAGGCGTGCTGGTTGGCTTGAGGGCGGATCAAGCAAACGCCCGCTTCTCCTCTCCTTCGATTTTAAAGCTGCGTTTCCCAGCTTGAACTGCCGTTGGCTGGAGCTCACATTCGCCCATTATGGCGTGCCGATCGGCATCCTCTGGGCCATATAAGCTCTCTACAACGCTCCGATCGCCTTCGCTCGGTCCGGGGGCATGCCACTCACGCCAATGTGCGAGCTCGCTAGCGGTGCGTTGCAAGATTCCCCCTGTGCGGCAGTCTCTGGCCACTGTGCATGGATCCGCGGCTTCGCCATCTGCAGCGGCCTTTTCCTACACTTGATCATGGCGTGGCGCTAGCGCGTGCAGACGACATAGGCTTGACTTTATACTGTGCGTAATGCAGCTCATCATGATCGTGGAGACTTTCAGCTTCGCTGAACAGCTCGCTGGCGTTGCACTTCAGCCTGCCCATAGTGTAGCTGCGCCGTTGTGGGCCCCGTTTTCAACAGGGGTGCAGAGCCTAACCCGCCGTGATCTCGCGGGGGGCTTGCGACGGGTGGGGCGCGCTTCAGGCGTTGGACGCGGTGAAATACCTCGGGGTCTGGCTCGGCCCAGGAGCGACCGCTGACTTGCAGTGGGATGCTCCAGCTGAGAAATGGTGGAAGCGGATTCATCTCGCCAGCCTCACTCGCGCCCCTTCTTCTGCTCTTACGCTTCTGCATGCTTCTGCTACCCTTCCCACGTTAAGTTATGTCTCCCAACTGTTCTTGCCCATTCCGAGGCTGTTGCGAAGAGATGTTCGCGGATTGCATAAGTTGTACAGGCCCCCCCCGAATGCGATGAAACTGTCTGCCTCTCCTTGAAGGCGCGGTGCCGAGGAGGGGGGCCCTCCGCCATCTTGCCGCTCTCTCTTGCATCCACGTTGCGGACGTGCACTACTACCTTGACGAGTTGGCAGGCGCATTTCCACAGGTTGCGAGGAGCTGCAGAAAATCACGCTCCGCTTCCCTCGTTTGCTGTTCAGCACTGTTCGCCTGCTTGGTGGCGCGAGCAAAAGGCAATCGTGCAGCGATTCGATGACAGCTGTTCGTGCAAGCCGATATGTTTCTTTCAGGTCTTGCGCAGTTTCTGCAAGCATGCTACGCACTGCTGCAAGGGTGGGGAGGTCGGAGGTCGCGCGGGCGGAGGCGGAGGGGAGCGGGAGACCAAAGGTGCAGCGTGCTGTTTGTGTTTCCCTGGCCCAGCAGATGTATCCCGAGCAGCTTGTCGACGCGATTCGCAAACGCTTGAGTAAATGGTATCCCGACCTTGCTCTGACTCCTGACCTCTCCTTTCGCTTGCTCGTTCTTCGCTCGTATCTCAGCAAATGTAAGCCCGCGGTGCGCTGGTGTGTCCTGAATGAAAACTCTTAGTGGAGCATGGACCACCAGCGATCGAACGCATGTCGTCCCAGGTTATCACGCTTGTTTGCTGGGGTGTCCGAGCTGTGTAGGATGTGTGCAGCATTACTTGATGTGTGATAAGTTTCTCTCGAGCTTGTGGCTGACCCGCAGGTGCCAATGAGTTCGCAGGTGTTAGTTCGACTGGGCTTGGGCGGCGGAAAGGGGCATGCGGGTCAGTTGTCACTCGGTCGCGTTGTTCGATCTCTCTCCCTCGCCCTCTACATACGTATATGACGCCATGAAGGGAGATATCGGCGCTCCCCCATCACGATGTTGCCTCCGTCGCAGCTGCCGCGCGATTTCGAGCAGTCGCCATTCAGCGATTGCGAGTCGGGTGAGTGACTTGGACTCTCTCAGGGGACGTTCGCTCCTCCTCCTCCTCCTCATCATCATCATCTTCCTCCTCCTCCTTCTCCTCCTCCTCCTCCTCCTTTTCCTCCTCCTCCTCCTCCTCCTCTTCCTCCCGCTCCTCTTTTTCCTGCTCCTCCTCCTCCTCCTCCTCCATCTCCGCCTCCTCCTCCTCCTCCTCCTCCTCCGCCATCCTCCCCCCCTCCCCTGCTTCATCTCATCCTCTTCTACCCCTCCTCCTCTCCTCCTCATCCTGTCTCCCTCTCTTCCTCCTCCTCCTCCTCCTCCCCCCCCCTCCTCCTCCTCCTCCTCCTCCTCCTCCTTCTCCTCCTCCTCCTCCTCCTCCTCCTCCTCTTCCTTTTCTTCGTCGTCCTCCTCCTCCAGGGGCATCTTCTGCGGCTGAGGCGCCCCGGGTGCCGGCGCGCCTGGGCCCGCATGCCTCGGCGGGGGGAGCGCGCCCTCTTCCTCCTCCTCCTCCCCCTCCTCCTCCTCCTCCTTCTCCTCCTTCTCCTCCTTCTCATCCTTCTCCTCGTCCTCCTCGCACTCATCGTCTCTCTCGTCTCGCTCCCTCGTCCCCCCCCCTCCTCCTCATCCTCCTCCTCCTCTCCTCCTCCTCCTCATCCTCCTCCTCTTCTCCTCCTCCTCATTTTCCCCCTCCTCCGCCGCATCCTCATCGTCCTCTAAGTCGTAGTATCGTCGTAAGTCGTAGTCGTAGGTCGTGTCGTAGTCGTAGTCGTAGTAGTAGTAGTATAGTTGTAAGTAGTAGTAGTTAGTCTCAGTAGTGTAGTTAGGAGTAGTAGTAGTAGTAGTAGTATAGTAGTAGTTAGTAGTAGTAGTTTAGTAGTAGTAGTAGGTAGTAGTAGTAGTTGTAGTAGTAAGTGGTATAGTTTAGTATAGTAGTAGTTAGTAGTAGTAGTAGTAGTAGTAGTAGTAGTAGTTGTAGTAGTAGTAGTAGTAGCAGTAGTAGTAATAGTAGTTGTAGTAGTAGTAGTAGTAGTAGTAGTAGTAGTAGTAGCAGTAGTAGTAGTAGTAGTAGTAGTAGTAGTAGTAGTAGTAGTAGCGCCTGACGTTGCAAGCATGTCAGACCCGCCCTTTCACCCAGAAGAGGTGCGCGCTACATACTGGCAATGAGGCAGCCACAAGGACGCTCTCCCCTAGGTGGTTGAGCCGTGGTGATGTGGTGCACGAGACCGCCAGTGGTAGTAGT